TAGAAAGAATTAAGGGCAAAGGTTCCAAATCTACCGTTCATCATTTAAAGGATGGTGATAATGTTTTTACTGATAAGGCTGGCATTTCCATTAAGCTTGGTGAAACTCTCGCCAAACATTCGTTAATTCATCCAATTATGTCCCTGAGTTTCAGAAACACCAGAAACAACAGGAGAAGAAAAGAATTAATTTTACTCAAATAATGGTTAACACTACAACGAATTATTTTCACTACATGAGCTACGTATCGCCCTTGAACAAGCTGATGATACAGCAACAGGAGCTGATAATATTCACTATCAGCTTTTGAAGCATTTACCTGAATCGTGTTTGGAAACACTTTTGAATATTTTTGACACAATATGGACTTCAGGGAATGTCCCGAATTCGTGGCGTAATGCCATTGTTGTCCCCATTCCAAAACCTGGCCGGGACCATACTGGTCCGTCTAATTACAGACCAATCTCTCTCTAACGGGTTGTGTCTGTAAAACCATGTAACGAATGGTAAACAATAGATTAACTTGGTATCTTGAAACCTATAACCTTATTACAAATATTCAATGTGGTTTCAGGAAAATCGAAGAACCATTGATCATTTGGTACGTTTAGAATCCTTTGTTAAAATGCTATAATAAATAAACAACATACAGTATAGATATTCTTTGACCTCGAGAAAGCGTACGATACCACCTGGAAGCATGGTATTTTAAAGGATTTACATGATTTTGGTTGAGGGGTCGTTTACCTCTTTTATATCACAGTTGATATCAGACAGGCAGTTTCCGAGTGGGTTCAACCCTGTCTGACCATTACAATCAGGATCAGGTGTCCCACAAGGCAGTATTTTGTCTACCACTATATTTAGCATTAAGATCAACAGTTTATCGGAGGTTTTAAACGATTCAGTCAATGGATCACTTTTGTGGATGATTTTAATTTTTCTTGTCGTGGTAAGAATGTGCATACTATTGAACGGCAACTGCTGTTGTGTTTAAACAAAATAAATAAATGGTGTTTTGAAAACGGCTTTAAACTTGCTAAGTACAAAACTCATTGTCTTCACTTTTTAGAAAATATAAGCCTCATAAGGACCCAGGTGGTACGTAAGTCCCAAAGCATTCAATGTAAATTTAAATCTACTAATAGCTGAAGGGATGGTGTAATCAGCTAGGGTCCATGCACTGTAAGTCCCATGGTCCCTGGTATGGTGATCTACCTTCAGTTGTTGGCAATCTATAGCCCGTTTTTATATTGTATTGTCATATATAGTTAAACGGTTTTAGATTTATTTACTAGTTTTAAATTCGTCTCTGTGATAGTCTAGTTATTTTATTGTCTTTCGCAGACAGCTTTTATAATTTACTATTACTTACTATGTATACCAATTAACGATAGGGCTGTAATATTGCCGATGTGACGATAAATTTTAGCTCACTCACTCATTTGTTGGCGATCTATAGCCTGTTTTTATATTACGTATTGAGCAAATAATGCTGTTAGTTTTAAATGCTAGTTTTAAATTCGAAGTGTGATAGTTTAGTTGTTTTACTGTCCTTTGACGACAGGTTTTATAATACATACATATTATTTATAACTGTCCAATTTGTTCTCTTCACGATATGGCTGAAAAATTGCCGATGTGACGTTAAATATTAACTCAATCACTCACTCCAGTGTGTGGAGTTTGAGGGTTTTGTTTTGTTGTTCATGTGAATAACACTGATTTGCTATTTCATGTGTTTGTAATATGTGGGTCAGAATAGGCTACAAATCGTCAACACTTGATCAGTAAACCATAGTGGTTCCAACACACATGCTTATGATGTGGTCATATTCTTAAGTGGCCTCCAATTTGGACAGAAACTCTCATACAGAAACTCTCATACACACTTCACATGAACACTCCTCTTTCAGCCCTCCTTCACCCATTTTACATTAAACCTGTCCTCAGTACACACTTCACATGAAGCTCTCCTTCAGTACCCAGTTTACACTAAACCTGTCCTCAAACCTCACATGAAACTCCCTCAGTACCCACCTCAGACATGAGAAGCAAGCATATTACTTTCGACGTTTTGACAAAACATATCTCTTACTCCATGACTTTCGCAAAGTCATTTTCATAGCCCACACCTTCGTCTATCAATTCACAGACTTATCTTTACCTTCGTGTAAAATACTTTAATTTCATTGGTCAATGACGCTTTAACAAGTTTCCGTGTCAGGAGGGTGACAACTACCTGGAAAAATATTACCCGGTCGCCACGGTATGCACCACTCTTTTAGTACCCACTTTACTAAAAAAACGACAAGATTTAATACCACTTTTTAAACTTTGGATTAAAAAACCAAGATATCATCGGAGATGAACGCGGAGCCGGCCCATGGGCCAGCAAGTATAAATTTTGAGTTGTCGAAAAATTATTTTTCATTTTTCATCCTTAGCATATATTCATAACAACTGCATGTTTAATTTTGTCGAATCCCTTGTCAGAAACTGCCCACACAGTGCGGAGAGTTTCTGGACTTTTGTGAGATAGTGCAGGGGCTTGTGTGTAATTCCGTGGAAATTTCAATTTTTGGTACCAATACTATTTTCACTATTGTGTACCAATTCAGGAAAATTATAATCATATGGTTCCATTTTTTCAGGAAAAACTACATAGTTCCGGTGTATGGTGTTTGCTATCCTTTGTGCATTCCATTTCGACTAATGACCATCCAAGACCAGGAAGACTGTGCGTCATCACACTAGCCCAAGATCACTACATCCGGGTAACCCATATTGCGTGACTAACATCGTTCCGCCCGGGACACAGCACAAGAACGGTTTGGAGCCCGGAGAATGTCCGACCAGAAAATCAGGAACCGTCTCCGAGAGCTAGGTATGCGTGCCAGACGCCCAAAAGTTGCCCCTGTCTGACACGATTACATCAACGTCCGCGAGTCAGGTGGTGTAACGCGGTGCAGCCATGGAACCTTGGAAACTGGAGGCACACACGGTTCAGTGATGAATCGCGGTATCCCCTCAAACAACGTGACGAAAGACAACGTGTCAACAGGCCACACAATGAACATTTTGCATCCAACTGCATCAGGCAAGTGGACAGATTTCGTGGAGATGGTGTGATGATGTGGGAGCCATCTCATACACCTGGCAGGTCGGAATTGGTGCTCATCCAAGGCAATCTTACGGCCGGTCGATATATCGAACAGGTTCTCTGTCCTCACGTGCATCGCCTTGTCGACCGCCAAAGGGAACTGTACCAGCAGGACAACGCCAGACCTCACACACCCACACGTGCTACAGTGGACTACCTGGACAATAGAACATTAATGACCGACACACACACCCCCACACCCCCACCCCCTCCAGATCTCTGGATCTGAAACCTGTGGGATCAGATAGATAAACGTGTACGTCAACGTCGTCATCCGCCATTGAGGCTTTAACAGTAACTATTGTTCAACATGCTGCAGGTGGAATGGAGAAGGATTCCACAACGAAACATCCAACAACTGATTCAGTCTGTGTCAAGAAGGTGTCGTGCAGTTCTAGCAGTAAGAGGTGGTCATACAAGGTAGTAACGTCAACGTCACCTCGTGGACAGCAGTAATAGCTATGATGACTATCACTCTTGTAAAATGCGCTCGAGATACCAATGTATTGCTCTACATAATTTCAATGCCATACCGTTTATTTTCGTTGATTTACATCATTGAATAAGACCAAATTTTTCAATGATATTTTGCTTATGCGTTTCTTTTTTTGAAGAGTGTACTTTTTCACCATCTAATTGTTTCTGTCCTAGGGACATACCCAATAGATCCAGAAAGGTTCATTGAAATCCATCAGAGTGGTTTTTGAGTAAAGATACTAACACATAAATACACTTACACAAACAGGGTTGAATGCATACCCTCTGCAACAAACCTTCGGTTTTGGCAGAAGCAATTATCATCATATTGATTATTATGCATACATATATTATTGAGATTCATGATATATAATGGTAGTTGTAAAACACACATCGCAAGGTACATTTTGATATACCACATGCCTATGTTGTAATTGAGAAGCAGTATGTACTTTCGACGTTTTGATAAAATATATCTCTTACTTCATGACTTTCGAAAGCCATTTTCATAGCCCACACCTTCGTCTATCAATTCACAGACTTGTCTTACCTTCGTGGAAAATACTTTAATTTCATTGGTCAATGACGCTTTAACAAGTTTGCGTGTCACCCTCCCAGGATGGTGACAACTGGAAAAATATTACCCGGTCGCCACGGTAACCGCCAATCTATCAGCCGAGAAGCTGTATCGCTAACAATCGTATGACTTCGTAATATGACGCATGCAGTGCATGGAGTTCGAAAATCGTTCGATTAGCTGTTTTGAGTTCACTATTCACTTTGTTCTCCCGACTTTTACTGCCTTTTGAAAACTGTTGTAAACATTGCATCGTTTGCACATTCAACTTAAATATAATTAACCATTTTATAGCAGTTTTACGCTTGTCAGAATATGTTTCACTGACTTTAAAAATCCAGTCCAGACGCAGACGCCATTTTGTTTACATGTACTTTGCCCCTTCAAAGGTTTGATGTAACATAGTTGGTTGCGTGCTTATCGATCTTCAAAATAAAAAGATTTTATTGCACATTTAACATGGCGGTAAGATAACTACGCTGTAAACTTCTCTCTCGTGTAATACGGTCTGATGTACGCCTATTTGTAGCAGTGTTATCCCTCGCCTACCGACTCGGATGACACTGTTATAAAAGGCGTACATCAGACCGTATTACCCGAGGGACAGGATACAACTTATAGAATCCATGAGATCAAAGTGATTATTACTCGCCCGTGGAAGATTCTGCAGTGTAATACTTTACGGCAATATCACACTAAAGTAATACCGCTAGACGTATGACGACATAATAGTTTACGGTTATGACGTCACAATGCTAATACCTCTGTCACAATGGTATTAGACCTAGCTTGACTCGCGGAAAGCTGAGAGTCATCACACTGTAAGTAGTTTCTATCATGTTTTGTTGGAGAGTAAAACAGAATACTAAACTAGCTTCCGTGAAATACCATTGTTATGAAACTCGTGAAAGATTTAGTATCAAACTCGATTTCGCTCTTTTGATACCAAATCATTAACTCGTTTAATAAAAATGGTATTAAACGGAAGGTTGTTTAGTATCTTCTATATATCAAATAATGGATTACAGTGTGTTACAGATATGTAACAATACACCAACATTTCACAAAAACAAAACCATCTTACCTTCACTGCTCTCTGTCGGGTTCGGCTGGGTTGTGATATCGAGGACAGAATGATCACCTGATGTAATATACAACCTTACTGTGACAAGCAAAGGGGCCTGATCAAGGTTGTTATAAATCTATACAATCGTTTATGACAACATAAACGAGTGTGTTTCTGTGTTTAAGTGTGGTAGATTCGTACACAGATTGGTAGATTTGTTTCCACCGCCCCCTAACGATTACGACTCACTGGAACGTATGTGCTGAAGATTTCATCATGTTTTGATTTATTACCATTTGCCCTCACCTCACTTGGGCCTCTTTGTTCACTGGAAACTCGAGTGCGGCTTCTACTTTGACATTCGCTCGAGTTAACACACTTTGTATAGGTTTAACACAGGGTACGGTGACATCACCTCCGTCACCACCTCCCATCTACCCTGCAAGAAAATCGTTCCCACTATCAATGAAAGTTATTTACGAAGTGATTTCAAATATGAATATACAATGCCATTTAGAAAGTGGTCAAATGTATCTCATGTTACATTTGGGATTATACTTTCTCAGTAAAGTGCAGATTCTAACTCTTTTGTTGGCTTGAGTCCCATTCAGGAATCCACGCCCTATGGTTAGGACACAATCCAACGAACGTACTAGAATATGAGATAGAGATAGAGATAGATAATCTTTATTTCCTCCGAAGTCGAAGATACAGCAGTTTGTAACATAGGTTATATATATGTATTTACAGGTTACAGAGTGTGATAATCAAAATTAGAATAGGTATTTTAGTTGATGCAGCCAGGGTTTTACAGAGTTTGCGATTAGTTTTATACATTTAAACCACATTTCTTGTTCAAGCTCTTGAGCATATACATTTGGTAGACAGAGCATAAATGAGACAAATAGGTCTTCATCATTCCATAAACTGACAAAAGTGACAACATCTAGCATGTCCACTAGTGACTCAAAGCATTTCTACTACTTTGTATGAGAGTACAGTGTAGAAATACATGTTTTACAATATCATAGGCAACTATGCCACATTCACACTCAAGAGACTGAATGCTAAGTGTGCTGATACGTAGAAGAGTAGCAATATTATTGAAACATTCTGGCATATTATAACATGTAGACCACAGTCTGTGAACATTTTTAGGATATCTTATAGTCTGCTATTTTCAAGGTTAAGTCTCAACCTCGTTACAGGAGCAACATATGACTCCTCAGCTTTAAGTATTTTTTTTATTCACTTTACTTGGTTACAGTTGAACAAAATATATAGGTGGAGTAAAATGTTAAAAATTGCATAATAAAAAGCAGACAGTACAATGTATTTCGTATTGGGAATATCAAGATAAAACAATTGAAATGCTACATAAGTAATACAGAGAATGTGATTTCTAATTTCTAATTACAGGACTGCATCTAGGGCATTTCATTTTCTGTAAAAATGTTTCATATTGTTGTTTTCAAATGACAAATTTCTCAATCTCATGAACGTCCTTTAATAATGTTCTGTAGATTGTGAAGCTAGGTTTGTGTCCATTAATATTCATAACGAAAATGTGGCGCTTTGACTATAATATCATGTGGTGGAGTAAATAGTTACCACTGCAACAAAATAGAATATCATGGTTTGACATTTCATACGTTTACCAAGGACTTGAGTTACAAAATTGTTAAAATCTGCCCAGAACATTTTGATGATTGGACAATCAAGGTATACATGGTAAATATCCTCACTTACTGAACCACGTAATGTACATAGGTCATTATCTATCAGTTTCATTTTCAGCAGTTCTCGTTTAGTGGAAATGGCTCTGCAAAAACTAGTGGATTGTCTACATTGTGAAAATATGATTTTCCAATTTATCAAATCATTTAGTTCCCCGTTCCATTTCAGACACACATTCGGAATGTTATAATCAGATATGAAATTATCACAGAATATCCTATAGCCTTTACTAGGTTTAATCAAATATTTCCAAGGAGAACACGAGGATAACTTCGGTATATTCAAATTGTTTTTGTTCCTGTAACTTCTTTCCACTGTTTGGGTACACACGATTTAAATCAAGTACAGTACCCTTCATGCCAAATTTTCCTTTAAGTTCCGCAAATGTTAGAAAATCGTAGTCTTTACAAATATCTTTAATATAGACTATTCCACATGTATGAAATACACAATGCCATTTTAGAAAGTGGTCAAATGCAACATATGTCATATTTGGGATTACACTAGTAAAGTACAGATTCTAGTACTTTTGGGTTGAGTCCCATCCGGGATTCGAACCCGCACCCTCAGAGTCAGGCACCTCAGCACACAAAGTCAGACGCCTAGACCGCTGACCGCGACTGAAGTCGGACGACTAGTAGTCTAGACTGGCTTTGGTTACAGTGGTGATTTAGCATACTGGTTACATGATTACATTTCATTAATATCGTTATTGTTACACACATATCTTATTAAAATATCTATGGTAGGCATCAAGAGAGTATTTCCAAAATGGATATTTAACTTTATAGTGTTTTGTAATGTTGGCTCCTAGGAGAAGAAGGTTTTGTAAAGGGAAGCCGACAAGATCAGGGTTCTTAGATTTTGAAATATATCTCTTCAAGCATGAAAGTTTTAAAGAGTCGATAAAGGTTTTACATCGACCATTCTTAGACCACCGTCTTCGTACATTCGCACTAAATTAATTCGTTTTATTTTGTCAATTTTATCATTCCATATAAATTTGAAGAATAATCTGTTCAAATCAGTAATAAATGTTTTCAGGGGGATTAGGGAGAGATGAGAAGATGTGGACAATCGTGGTCGAAATAAAGCTAAACTTTTCATGGGACGACGGTTATTTTCCCTGACATATCAACGTAAAATTACGTCTTTCCAATTCTTTGTCGTTTAACTTTTCTTCTGTTGTTATCTCTGATCATTATTCCTAGTATTTCTGCAATAAGAATAAATATGGAGAGATGGGATCACCCTGTCTACATCCCCTTTCGTTGTCGAAAAACGTTGACAAGTGAACATTCTGTATCATACACGAGGATGCATTAGAAATGAATATGTTAACCCATTTTTGAATGTTACTTCCAAAACCAAACTTATCTTGGACCATCTTAATGAATGTTTTTGACACGGTGTCGAAAGCTTTTCAAAGTCAATTAAGATAAGTAAACCTTTTATGTTTTGCCTTTTAGTTTCAAACATAATATCATAGAGAAGTCTAATATTTTCCGTAATGCATCTTCCTGGAATGAATTCCGTTTGATTTTCGTTTATGAGAACATTCAATGTTTTTTAAACCCTGTTTGTGATACAAGTACTTATAACTTTATATAATGCGTTTAGGGGGATATAGTTCGCCAATTCTTCAGAAATCTTCTATCTCTTACCTGGTTTAGGGATACGTGTAATTACTTCTCTATTCATTGTCATTGTCATAGTCATAGAATTCTTGTTGAATGTTTCTTTTATATATCGGTGAATCCAAATGTTCAGATTTTTCCAGAATACACTGGTATTCTTTCTTTAACTAGTATTTCAGACCACTCAGCCTTCGTTAGAGAAGGAAGATTGGTTTTACATAGTTGTACAAATGCATATCTAGGTCATACATTGTTACAAGATTGAGCATGTGGAAGATTGGCGATGACTTGCTATATCGCTCTTTCTCCAGTGATGAAGTCTGTCTGTACTGACAAAGTCTATGCACAAGCACTTTCTTAAATACAAATTCAGTATCGCTGTTACATAGTTTACCGAGAAATAGCAAAGCCTTCTGGTGCTTAATCTTAGTAGTGTGACCAGGGCGAGACTGTCTCTGGCTATTGTGGATGATCCACGTTTGAAAGGCCTTGGATACTCTTACAAAACTGGTTTTGTACAGTTTCCAGCATATCATATTCCTTTTCATACATTACAAGAGTACAAACCGCATGGCAGAATAACTCTTCCCAAATAAGGACGCAACAAAGTGGGTGAAAGGCCATGGTTCTTATTGGCATTAAGGAGTATCCTAAGCCTTTCACATACAAACTGCGTAAATTCTATAATTCTACTGGATGAACAGATTTGGAGGCCAGGAAATTTTACATGTGTATTAAAAGGTATTAAAGGGTATTTCAGTCTCATCAATGTATATTATAGGATGGACATTTCTTTTGTGTCTCCAAATACAAGAAATAAACTCTTTGCTGCATTAAAACACAAGTGCCATGTGTGCGCATACTTATGTACAACATCAAGCACACTTTGAAGTCCACCTGGGCATGCACTTAACAAAGACAAGTCGTCGGCTAACAGCACCCCTGGTGTTTTACCCCATGGTAAACATATGCCATGCCCAGAGTCAACGATACTTTGAAGTAAGTCGTTTATATATAGAGTGAAGAACCAAGCTGATAAGACACGACCCTGACCTACCCCCTGTTTTACATCAAATACATTAGAAATACTGCCACCAGTGCTAACACATGATTTCATTGATGTGTACATAGTGTATATAAGTCGCCACAGTTTACCTCGAATCCCGAAATTGTAAAGCTTATAGAAAGCCCATTCAACCAAACTCTGTCAAACGCTTTCTCATTATCAAGGAAGGCACAATAAACAGGTGAATTTCTTTCGACATAGTAGGTCATACTTTAAGTTAGAGTAAGCGCTGCAGTTTTCGCCCCGCACACTTCCTAAATCCAAACTGGAGAGGGTGGGGCAAATCTTATTCAGCTTTTGTTCATGTTTCAATTCTTTTGAGCAGTAATCTTTCAAAACGTTTTGAGAGAACAGGTGTAAGAGTGATACCTCTATAATTACATGGATCATGCTTGCTTTTACCATTTCCTTTGTGAATTGGTAAAATATTACCAACACTAAATGCATTTAGTACATACTCAAACGATACAATGGCATTAAATAGTGATACAATATGGTCAATAACAGACCAACCAGCATACTTTACATGCTCGTTTGAAATACCATCTGGGCCTAGAGATTTGTTGTTTTAAGACGTTTTACTGTATCAAGTACCTCATCTTTAGTAAACGGGGAGAGAATGACTGAATGATTGTCGTCATTTACAGGGTTATATACAACATCTTCTACAAACTTATCAACGTGCTCTGTAAATCCAGTATCAAAGCATTCTGGACCCTGAGGTACAGACAAGTCTCTGAAGTACCTGGCAGAGAGATTACATACACCTTCCTGCGTGTTACAGGAGTCACTGTTATAAGTTAGAGACTGTGTTTGCTCTCTTTTACGTTTTAACCTTTTTGTAACTCTAAAGTATTCTTGGATGTCTACCTCAGCTGCTTGGTAAATTTCATCAAATGTTTCATTTCTTTAACGTTGCTTAGCTGAACGGTGGTTTCTTCGAAATGCACGTTTAGCATGTTTATATTCAATAAAATATGTGTCATCTGAGCTGTGGCTTTTGCCGTTAGAAATCCAATTTTTGCTGCAATTACGCATATGGTCATGATGTTCTTTAAGTTCATACTCCTCCAGTATGGCTTTAATTGTGCTTGGAATTCTGAAGTAGGAATTGCAAGTATAGTTGCAGCATGTAGACATTCTGTGATATAACTATTGTGACACTCGATGTATTCATCAGGAGGTGAAAAATGGGAAACATCAAACTGTACATTTCTAAAGTAGCTACGTTGTAAACCTCTCCCTCGGGTAATACGATCTGATGTACGCCTGATTATTGAAGATGCTGCAGTGTAATATTTTACGGCAATGTTACACTAGTGTAGTACCGCTAGACATATGACGTCATAATGGTTTACAGTTATGACGTCACAATGCTAATGTTGACTCGCGGAAAGCTCAGAGTCATCACACTGTACATCGATCTACCTATTTGGGAACCGATGACAACCAAGTCAGCGAGCCTGACCATCCGATCCCGTTAGTCGCCATTTACGACAAGCATGGGTTACTGAATATCAGCTTTAACCAAGATCTTCACGGGTTAGGTGCCTTAGTATCTCCTGTATATCACATAATGGATTACAATGTGTTACGGCTGTCTATGTTGTTATCATTTCTAGATCTATGCATATTGTATGTGTATTCCACTTGGAGCGTTTCATCTTATCACGAACACAGATATGTATGTAACAACACACCAATATGTTCAACAGAGCAAGAACCATTTTACCTACACTGCTCTCTGTCGGGTGCGGCTGGGTTGTGATATCGAGGACAGACTGATCACCTGATGTAATATACATCCTTATTGTGACAAGCAAGGGGCCTGATCAAGGTTGTTATAAATCTAAACAATCGTTTATGACAACATAAACGAGTGTGTTTCTGTGTTTAAGTGTGGTGGATTCGTAAACATTGTTTCGTACATCCCCTACTGATGACAACACACTTGGAAGTATGTGCTGAAGATTTCATCATGCTTTGATGAAATTACCATTTGCCACTACCTCATTTGGGCCTCTTAGTATACTGCAAATTTGAGAGCGGCTTCAACTTTGATTCGCCCTAGTTAACACACTTTGTATAGGTTTAACGCAGGGCACGGTGACATTACTTCCAGTCACCGTCTCTACTGCTAGAAAAACTCGTTCCCACAGTCAATGAAATATTTTTCCGAAGTGATTTCAAATATGAATATACAATGCCATTTAGAATCTGGTCAAATGTTTCACATGTTAATACTTGGTAATATACTTTCTCAGTAAAACTCTTTTTTTAAGTCCCACCCGGGAACCCACGCCCTATGGGTATGACACAATCCAACGAAAGTACTAGAATCTGTACTTTACTGAGAAAGTGTAGTTCCAAATATAACATGTGTTGGAGCCGTACACAAAATCCGTGGTCTAGACTACCGGTTGTCATTTTTGTGGAAGCGGCATTGGCTGAGTGGGTTAGACGGTTGAATTTGTGCACTGGCGATTAGGTTCCTAAATCACAGGACCTCGTGTCTTTGAGAGGATTTAAGATGAAAAAAAAAATCTTTTTGAGATGAACACCGCTTCATAGTACAATGAATCATGACAAGGCCGGACGCTTCGATGCACCCCACCCGCCTGCTTTGCCGATCGCTACGCTAACACCACATGCAATCGAATGTACACATATTCATGGATGATTGGCCTATGGATCAGCACTCACGACAGCTACCAATCATTTATTGTCATTTCTACAAGTCGACTGAAAGACGATTCTGATGCTCAACTTAACGATCTGGTCACAAATGGATGACGATAGGTCCGCAGAGGTGCGAGGTGTGGTCGAAGCAGGCCCTCTGATTGGTCGACGCTTGTTCAGGAGACATTTACAGCTAATGCTTGCTTTTAAGAAGCCATTGCTGGACACGAATTCTTACATTTTCAAGTCAAGCAGTCGATGAAAGTCAAAGTTCCCGCGAAATTATAAAGAATGGTCAGATTTACAAACGTTGACCCATCAACTTGCTTCGACCACAACCCAATGACTATAATTAAGGTACCTACGTAATATATACGTGTAACTGGAGTCAGACATTAGACCGTGAAAATCCGGGCTGGAACTGGTCTTCAGCAACCCATGCTTGTCGTAATAGGCGACTAACGGGATCGGGTGGTCAGGCTCGCTGACTTGGTTGACACATGCCATCGTATCCGAAGCACGTAGATCGATTTTTATGCTGTTTATCACTGGATTGTATGGACCAGACTCGATTATTTACAGACTGCCGCCACATAGGGGGAATATTAAGGAAAACCAGCTTGTATGGATAGTCAACTTCTTTATTGCAAATGAGTGCGACGTTTCGGTGTAGGTACTAATGTCGCTATGAAGCAAGTCACTATCAATAGAACCTTGATTTCCTTCATCTTTACAACTTCTACAATGCCTCTCAAAGAAGAGAATGTTGCTGACTGCAGCGTTAAACGACAAACAAAACAAAAAACAAAACGGACATGCAGACTATTGTCCACAGCAACATTGAAAATCAAATAAGAAAAACAAAAACAAACAAAATAAATTTTATTTTAATTCTAGACACAAACGGTAATGCTTAAACGTTGAGTAACTTCCCTGTATTTGGTGAGTGTTCCTACAATGATCACTATAGTTTGCAAAACTAATGAAATTCAGTCTATCATCAAATTTATTCAAAATGACATACCATTAATATATGTCTTGTGAAATGGACATTTCAATAGCGCAGCCATGTTCTGATGATGTTGTACAGAGCTGTCCCGGGACAGTCAGTCCTGCCCATGTCGCGGTGGCCTCTGAGGATGTAGTTGGACCGAATCTTGCCCATGCTGACGCCGCAAGCAATAAGGGCCTTGGCAGTGTTGATAGCCGCACTGTTTGGGGCACGCGTCATGAAGTTACCGATGAAACAGAAACCTGAATAGGTGAAATACAACAGACATGTGAACCCTTGTCCTGTCACTGGTTTATCCTTACCAACATTACAAAGCTCCGTTTGTGAACCCTTGTCCTGTCACTGGTTTACCCTTACCAACACTACATAGCTCCGTTTGTGAACCCTTGTCCTGTCACTGGTTTACCCTTACCAACACTACATAGCTCCGTTTGTGAACCCTTGTCCTGTCACTGGTTTACCCCTTACCAACACTACATAGCTCCGTTTGTGAACCCTTGTCCTGTCACTGGTTTACCCCATACCAACACTACATAGCTCCGTTTGTGAACCCTTGTCCTGTTACTGGCTTACCCTCGCCAACACTAGTACTACCATAGCTTCTTTTGTGAACCCTTGTCCTGTCACTGGTTTACCCCTACCAACAGTACATAGCTCCGTTTGTTAACCCTTGTCCTGTTACTGGTTTACCCCTACCAACACTACATAGCTCCGTTTGTGAACCCTTGTCCTGTCACTGGCTTACCCTTACCAACACTACATAGCTCCGTTTGTGAACCCTTGTCCTGTCACTGGTTTACCCTTACCAACACTACATAGCTCCGTTTGTGAACCCTTGTCCTGTTACTGGCTTACCCTACCAACACTACATAGCTCCGTTTGTGAACCCTTGTCCTGTTACTGGCCTACCCCTACCAACACTACATAGCTTCGTTTGTGAACCCTTGTCCTGTTACTGGTTTACTCTTACCAACACTACATAGCTCAGTTTGTGAACCCTTGTCCTGTTACTGGCTTACCCTACCAACACTACATAGCTCCGTTTGTGAACCCTTGTCCTGTTACTTGCTTACCCTCGCCAACACTAGTACTACCATAACTCCGTTTGTGAACGAACCCTTGTCCTGTCACTGGCTTACCCCTACGAACACTACATAGCTCCGTTTGTGAACCCTTGTCCTGTTACTGGTTTACCATTACCAACACTACATAGCACCGTTTGTGAACCCTTGTCCTGTTACTGGCTTACCCTTACCAACACTACATAGCTCCGTTTGTGAACCCTTGTCCTGTCACTGGTTTACTCTTACTAACACTACATAGCTCCGTTTGCGAACCCTTGTCCTGTTACTGGCTTACACCTTCCATCACTGCTGTAACTTTATTTGTGAACCCTTGTCCTGATACTGTCTTACACCTACCAACACTGCTGTAGCTTTATTTGTGAACCCTTGTCCTGTTACTGGCTTACCCAGACCAACACTACATAGCTCCGTTGTTGTAGCCCCGGGTGAGCTAATGTCCTGTTGTTGGCTTTTCCAAACCATATACTCTTGTACCCCGGGTGTGAGTATCTGTCATGTCAATGACCTACATGACAAAGTTGGCGATGGGGTGGCCTAGTGGTGAAAGCGTTTGCTCGTCACGCCGAAGACACTGGTTCGAATCCCCACATGGGTACAATGTGTGAAGCCCATTTCTGGTGTCCCCCGCCGTGATATTGCTAAAAGCGGCGTAAAACCAAACTCAGTTAGTCAGTACATGACCAGCGCTGTTTTAACCCCAGGTGTGAGTCTCTATCCTTTCACTGACTTACCCAGACCAACACTGTTGTACCCCGGGTGTGAGTCTCTGTCCTTTCACTGACTTACCCAGACCAACACTGTTGTACCCCTGGTGTGAGTCTCTATCCTTTCACTGACTTACAAAGACCATCACTGTTGTAGCCCGGGTGTGTGCCCCTGTCCAATCACTGACTTACCTAGACCAACACTGTTGTAGCCCCGGGTGAGCTCATGTCCTGTCACTGACTTACCCAGACCAACACTGTTGTAGCACCGGGTGTGAGCCCCTGTCCAGTCACTGACTTACCCAGACCAACACTGTTGTAGCCCCGGGTGTGAGCCCCTGTCCAGTCACTGACTTACCCAGACCAACACTGTTGTAGCCCCGGGTGTGAGCCCCTGTCCAGTCACTGACTTTCCCAGACCAACACTGTTGTAGCCCGGGTGTGAGCCCCTGTCCAGTCACTGACTTACCCAGACCAACACTGTTGTAGCCCCGGGTGTGAGCCCCTGTCCAGTCACTGACTTACCCAGACCAACACTGTTGTAGCCCCGGGTTTGAGCCCCTGTCCAGTCACTAACGTACCCACGCAAGCCTTGTTGTAGCCCCGGGTGTGAGCCCCTGTCCAGTCACTGACTTACCCAGATCATCACTGTTGTAGTCCCGAGTGTGAGCCCCTGTCCAGTCACTGACTTACCCAGACCAACACTGTTGTAGCCCCGGGTGTGAGTATCTGTCATGTCAATGACCTACATGAGAAAGTTGGCGATGGGGTGGCCTAGTGGTGAAAGCGTTTGCTCGTCACGCCGAAGACACTGATTCGAATCCCCACATGGGTACAATATGTGAAGCCCATTTCTGGTGTCCCCCACCGTGATATTGCTAAAAGCGGCGTAAAACAAAACTCAGTTAGTCAGTACATGACCAGCGTTGTTTTAACCCCGGGTGTGAGTCTCTATCCTTTCACTGACTTACCCAGACCAACACTGTTGTACCCCGGGTGTGAGTCTCCTGTCCTTTCACCGACTTTCCTCCCAGACCAACACCCAGACCAACACTGTTGTAGCCCCGGGTGTGAGTCTCTGTCCTTTCACTGACTTACCCAGACCAACACTGTTGTAGCCCCGGGTGTGAGCCCCCTGTCCAGTCACTGACTTACCCACTGACCCAAACCTGTTGTAGCCCACTGGGTGTGAGCCCCTGTCCAGTCACTGACTTACCCAGACCAACACTGTTGTAGCCCCGGGTGTGAGCCCCTGTCCAGTCACTGACTTTCCCAGACCAACACTGTTGTAGCCCCGGGTGTGAGCCCCTGTCCAGTCACTGACTTTACCCAGACCAACACTGTTGTAGCCCCGGGTGTGAGCCCCCTGTCCAGTCACTGACTTACCCAGACCAACACTGTTGTAACACTGTTGTAGCCCCGGGTGTGAGCCCCTGTCCAGTCACTGACTTTACCCAGACCAACACTGTTGTAGCCCCGGGTGTGAGCCCCTGTCCAGTCACTGACTTACCCAGACCAACACTGTTGTAGCCCCGGGTGTGAGCCCATGTCCAGTCACTGACTTACCCAGACCAACACTGTTGTAGCCCCGGGTGTGAGCCCCTGTCCAGTCACTGACTTACCCAGACCAACACTGTTGTAGCCCCGGGTGTGAGCCCCTGTCCAGTCACTGACTTACCCAGACCAACACTGTTGTAGCCCCGGGTGTGAGCCCCTGTCCAGTCACTGACTTACCCAGACCAACACTGTTGTAGCCCCAGGTGTGAGCCCCTGTCCAGTCACTGACTTACCCAGACCAACACTGTTGTAGCCCCGGGTGTGAGCCCCTGTCCAGTCACTGACTTACCCAGACCAACACTGTTGTAGCCCCGGGTGTGAGCCCCTGTCCAGTCACTGACTTACCCAGACCAACACTGTTGTAGCCCCGGGTGTGAGCCCCTGTCCAGTCACTGACTTACCCAGACCAACACTGTTGTAGCCCCGGGTGTGAGCCCCTGTCCAGTCACTAACTTACCCAGACCAACACTGTTGTAGCCCCGGGTGTGAGCCCCTGTCCTGTCCCAGCCACGACCCTCGTAGACGTTGCCGTCCTCGCCTATGAGGAAGCTGTAGCCGATGTCGCTCCAGCCTGAAGTGTAACCACATATGCAGTCTGAACCTGAACATCCAAGCAATTCATCATTGACAACATACATGTACAGACATTTTCAGCAATTTACGATCATCAAAAATGTTTGGTTATCTCAGAACAAATGGAATCACGTGTCAAGTATTTGTTTCTGTGTAATGATATACTTATGACTTGTTTATTAGCTTTAAATAGGACAAAAACAGCAAATTTGTTAAGAGGTTTGTTTTCCACCTTCAGGCTCCTGTGTTATAAATATATTTGCACTGTAAAGCCCGAGAAAACAGAATGTCTCGACACTTGTCACACACTCACTCACTCAGGTTCTCTCACTCACTCAGGTTCAGTCAATCAGGTTGACTGACTGACTCAGGTTGACTCACTTACTCGGTTGACTCACTCGCTCGTTCAGGTTGACTCACTTACTCACGCAGGTTCACTCACTCAAGTTTGACTCACTTACTCAGATTGACTCACTCGCCCACTCAGGTTGACTCCCTCACTCACCGTGTGTGTCCATATGGTAATTCTGATAGCTCCTGACAATGGCGGAGCAAGAGCTCTGACTGGAACAGGCTCCATTGCCTCCATGATGGATGAAGGCGTATTCCACAGGCCCGTCAAGATTGCTAGTAGACCGTGGGGGTCTAGCGCCCCACTCGGACCTGCTGATGATGCGGGGACAGACAGAGCCGGTGCTACCTATAAAGAGTAACACTTTTGTCCAGGTAACATCTGTACGACAAGAGAGGAGCCAGCCATCGCTCCCTTTATGTCGAGAAACATTCCAGTCGACCCTATTTTCGTGTGTATGTTTCAAAATGTTTAATGTGCAACCGATCATGCTTTTTTGTACAATTGTATGATAAACAGATGACTCTTGTAAAACAATTGTTTGATCAGGGTGATATTTCTTTATGTCTGCGATACTATTTTCATGGATTTCATAAATTCCTTTAAGATGAGCTTCGAAAAAAGTTATGATTTAACATTAATAACAAACACAGATGAAGGATACATTGTGGTAAAGCTAGATGACTGAAGTAGCTTTTTACCCGATGTGCCGGAGCTACCCGAACAAGTCCGAATGTTCACGTAGCGTCCCGAAATCCACCCGTTCTGCAATGGGTATCACAATGTCATTAAATCCTTTAAATAATTGTATAAAAGATATTGTAACACAGATATTCGGGGAAAAGCGTGAAAAATAATTACTTCTGGATTTAAAGGTAACTAGTAAGCATAAGCATATGACAACCGCTCCATCATCATTTAGGGGTGTAACGTCCACCTCTGGCGACCAATTGACAAAGATTCTGTAGAAACTAAAAGGCAAATCTATGTTACATTGGATGTAAAAGTATTTTGGAAGATTTAGACAATCTGGAGAAAGTGAGAAAGTTGGAATTCTACGCCTTTTTAAACAGTTCGCTCAGTTGACTGTATGAGATTAAAGGCCTTTGACGTTTAACCTTTTTGTGTTCGGCTTCAAATGAAATTTAGAGACTATCAATTCGGTCTAACATTCATTTAATTTCAAAACACAGTACGTTTATCTCCTAAATAATACGTTTGACATGGAGAGAATTAAATACACGCACGTGCGTTTGTTTGCATAACAGCTCTAACGGCATAACATTTTAAGGAAATATTGTTAGGAAATCGCTACGAATTTCAAAACAATAATATTATATCTATATACAATTTGTCAACTTTAATGTTTAACATCTGGCTTATATTTCACATCTCTGGGGGGATATTTTAGTCTGACGTTTTGGGGGTCATTCATACATTTTTCAACATAATATTATTCATGATTAAATTCAACCAGGGGTTTGACTGACTGAGTTTGGTTTTACGCCGTTTTTAGCAATATTCCAGCAACATCACGGCGGGGGACCCCAGAAATGAGCATCACACATTGTACCCATGTGGGGATTCTAACCCGCATCATGAACATAGCAATTTCATGTAGCAATGAATTAAAACGTAATTCATTTTACAAAAGGTTTTGCTCTGTTTATGAGTCCTATGGTGTTTATGTTTTGAAACATTACAACAAAACGCACCATTCGTAAAATACCCGTATTTAACAGCATGATTTTCAGTTTCGGCGTATAGTGCCACGTCTAAGTGAAGCCAACCGTCATATCGCCATTGGGGGAGGGCTTATTCGTTCGATGCCGAGGCGATGCCGTGCAGTTCTGGATGCCCACGGTGGTCACACGAGGTATTGACTTCAGCGCCACCACACGTCTCCATGTGACACTCAAACTGACTTTGATCGAGTTGGTGCCAAAGACGGATAAGTCAGCATTCCCTGTGTGCAATTTCGCTATATTTCATTGACTCATAAATCCTACAAGATGTTTCAAAATAAACATAAAAATACAGTTGAAATGCCTATATGCGTTTCTTTTTTGGAAGAATATATTATATATATATATAAACAGCTGGTAATAATTACGTTCGAGTATGTGTTTAATATGTTTTCACCTTCTTGTATTTGTATCACAACAGCAATACAATATACGAGTGCATTGGTGATATTAGTTCCATTAGAATCAAACAGGAATAGAGTTATCGTTCTTGTTTAAAGTAGTTCATGCGCCAATATGAAATCGTTCCAGAGGGGCACTAGTCGCTATTCGGCTTGTCCCGGAATAACACGAATGACAGTCACTTCACTCACAAATACCTCATGCTAAAGACATTTAAGTTGATAATGAAATACCTACCCTGCCGTTGAAGTTGACACGAACCCAACCATACCTCCGGTCGCCTTCAAAGGGGGTGCAGCGCCAGACTCTCAAGACGCCAAGTATCGAATGCCTCGTTCCCACACCGGAGCAAACATAAACATCTCCGGTAGCGCATGCGCACTGTGCAGCTCTCACATCACTTACAGCTGTTGCCAAGAAGGCAACGAAGACAAAACTAAGTGCCATATGTAGTCTGGAAACCTCTCTGCAACAGAAATAGCCAGTGAGCACTGTGCGATGCACACATGATAACCTTTGGCCTGAGCGATCGTGATGCCCAAGCTTCAAAGGGAATTCTTTTAGAGATGACATGTGCGCCCTTTTACACAATAAATGTATGCATATGCGCTGTCAGGTGATGTTTTCCAAACAACTATTTGTTTAAACCACTGATCCACTCATTGTGGCACAACATCATTGCAAGTATTTCGGTCTAACTGAGCAATACTCAGTTCATAATAGGTTTCCCCTGCAAGACGTTATCGCCCACACCTATAATTCCACGTTGGCCCCTTGTCTACCATGTAGTCATATCCATACAAACTCAGGTCGTCTCGGTTCTCAGATCGCTGTTTACCAAGTCAAAACATTGATTACACAACAGTCTCGTTTCCTGCTGACTGGGTTCCGACCTATTGCGCAACTTAGTACAATGACCAGTACAGAATTTTGAGACCAACTCCTTCAACTGGATACGTAAATATTTATCATTATTATTTGATACATCTAATCACTTGTATATTGCAACATTACGCTCCTTCTACTTGCAAACATGTCGTGCAGGGTGCTCTGACAAACGGAAATCATGGAAACTTAAAACGAGACTCTGCCGCTAGAAAGGTTTGGCGGTCTGGTACGGACTTGATATTATATCAATCACATTGTACATTACACAAATGCATTTAATAAGCACAAAACGACCATAACAGGTGTAACCAGTGAGCCAGATGAATTGTGAATCATTTTACGACCTCTTCAAACGGGGCAGTCTGTGACGTCTTAGTTAAAAGACATGCTGCCTAAACCTCGACATAGAATCTAGAAATATGATCTATCTAAACTTTAAAATTAAAATTAATTTATAAATATCATTTTCTTATGAAACAAGGAATTGGAATTCAGTGTAACCACAGTTGTTTGTCGTGTCTCTTTTCACTTTCACACGAGAAAATTAGGATCGGCTGAAATGTAGGTCATTGTCTGAATAGGTTAATGAGACTCATGTTTCGGTTTGCTTGTCTTCTTCAGCACACGATGGTTGTTGCAGACGCCGCGGGTCAGACCTGCTGAATTGGTTGATGCATGTCACCGTTAATCAGTTGCTTGTGTAGATCGCTGTTCATCTGCAGAACAACGCTACAGATATGAAATATACTATGACTATAAACATGAAATAGTTCCTATGAAAAGAAAGATCTGGGATCTGGATGGTGGCACTCGAATAATGTACTCTGGGAGAGTGAATGTGAACCTAAGTGTGTGAGTGAGTGAGACACTTGTTCAGCCACAGTGTGACAAGAGTCGAACAACGGTACACATCCATGTGGACCTCTATCTATTTTCTTGAGCTTTACTTTGCAAATACTACACGAGAGTGTGATTCGTTTTATGATTCGTTTAAAGCTAATAAACAAACCATTGGCATATCACTATGTTCCAGCAAAATCACGTTGGGTGACACCAGAAATGGGCTTCAAACATTACACCCACGTATGGTCTGAATAATCAGACTTATACCTTAGGTATAAATGCATGTTATGGAATATATTCAATTGAAACGAAAGAGCTGGGGCTGTGAGCACTGTGCACTGAGCGCCGTTGCACTTGCATTGACAATGTCCATACAAACAATCGTGTTATGCAGCAAGATTTATGATATAAATAAATCACTCAGAGAAATGTTCTGTTTTCTTAATTCACAAAATTTGGGTCTTTGAATTATGTCTTACTTGATTAAATTCCATATGCATTGACATGATACCAGAAAGCTTGGTTCAACTGATAATTAAAAAATAAAATGCCAATTTCTACCTTGGGCTATTATTACACCATGGTGTAAGACACAAGCAAAAATGTCAAAGAACTTAATGAAATGATCTGACATATTCACGATGAGAACGGTTATGTTTTTTCTTCATTGTTAAACGTGTGGTTACCTTGTATAAGCCTTTCTCTCGTCACGGAGAAGAACCGGGTTGACTCCAGACGTGGCTATACATAGTATGAGGCCCACGATATCCACTCTTGGTACTGCTGCAACCTTGCTAAAAGCGGCACAAAACAATACTCACTCATGTCCCTATATATGTTCCTCCAAGTGTATATCTAATGTGTCAATGTGCACAAAAAGAATATAAAATAAATCATAAATTGTGCTGCATATGAAATGATACTGAGTAGCTATTGTCCTCATGTCTATACTTACTGCACATGTACATTTATGGCATCTCACTATCAAGCTTGAAGCTTGCTTTGACTCAGTTTCCAGCGCTTGTTTATATGTGTATGCGAGTAGGCGAGTGACCAACTCGAAATATGCATCCAAAGTCGAAAATAGCCCCACTGGACACTGGGCACCCAATTGCGCAGATCGATGCTCATGTTGTTGATCACTGGATTGTGTGGTCCAGACTCGAATATTTACAGACCGCCGCCATATAGATGGACTATTGTTGAGTGCGATGTAAAACTAACCTCACTCACTCACTCACCTACTGGGCACCGTAGGTCCAATAGATGTATATAATATCATGATATAAACAATATTCATCAATACAACCTACCTGCTCTGACATGCAATACAGCTGAGTAAACAATGGACCCTGTTTTCGCTGTGAGGGAAGCCTATTACACTTACCACTTGTCGAGTATTTATATGTACGATCATGACTTGAATACTGATGGTTTACGTGACCCATTACCTCAGAAAATTATGGGCCATGTGACAAACATTTAGGTCAAGGTCATGTTTTTCTCATGACTGAAGGGCGTTACTTGTTTTTGTTGTTCAGATGTTGCGTGTTCCGGGCCTATTGGCAATTTGAGGCAAAGGCGTGACTACCAAATGTGGATGTTGATAACCACTGGGTCTCATTTCACTAGATGGCATGCATAGATATATTTGTGGAATCCCATACAGGTGTCACTGACACGCTACCAATGGCAGACAACAAGACCACGCTACCAATGGCAGACAACAAGGCCACGCTACCAATGGCAGACAACAAGGCCACGCTACCAATGGCAGACAACAAGACCACGCTACCAATGGCAGACAGCAAGGCCACGCTACCAATGGCAGACAACAAGGCCATGCAACCAATGGCAGACAACAAGGCCACGCTACCAATGGCAGACAACAAGGCAACAAGGCCACGCTACCAATGGCAGACAACAAGGCCACGCTACCAATGGCAGACAACAAGGCCACGCTACCAATGGCAGACAACAAGGCCACGCTACCAATGGCAGACAACAAGGCCACGCTACCAATGGCAGACAACAAGGCCACGCTACCAGTGGCAGACAACAAGGCCACGCTACCAATGGCAGACAACAAGGCCATGCAACCAATGGCAGACAACAAGGCCACGCTACCAATGGCAGACAACAAGGCAACAAGGCCACGCTACCAATGGCAGACAACAAGGCCACGCTACCAATGGCAGACAACAAGGCCACGCTACCAATGGCAGACAACAAGGCCACGCTACCAATGGCAGACAACAAGGCCACGCTACCAATGGCAGACAACAAGGCCACGCTACCAGTGGCAGACAACAAGGCCACGCTACCAATGACAGACAACAAGGCCACGCTACCAATGGACAGTATGCGAAATAGTTTTCCTGAAAGTCCACAAAATAATTACCTAGCCCAACACGTGAATGTAGAAACTAAGCAAAAGGTTACAAAAAGTTAATATGCCATCCTCTATCAGGCCATAATCTTGCATGATTTAAAAGTGCATTATAACTTAACTAGTCGGAGAGAGTGATATATTAAAAAAATGATCCCATGAAAATTCACTAGCCAGTCGGGCCAGTGACTTGGAGATTAACTGGCCCGACTGGATTTCTACTCGCCACGGGTTAGCGGGCCAGTGGCTATTTCTCACACTGCCAATGGATATTTGGACAATTTAACCACCAGTCAGATAAGTTAGTCAATCTTTCCTTGTCCAGAAATACAGGACGCTCTACAAAGCATGCAGTTTTTCCACATGTTCAGGGTGAGTGGTCATTTGTGTCCCGTGGGGCGCATCACTCTGGGCCATCTCACATGTGAAGATCAGGTTTTTTACTTATAGGTAGGTAACCACGTACTATTCGACCTTACATTTCAGTAGTATCGACAAGTAGAACAATTTTTTTAAATTCACTAACAGTTGTCTTAAAAACAACTCTCTCTGGAATGTTGAAGTCGTAGCGAACACCAGACTTGGGGAGAGTTATCACACAACAACTGGAATTTTTGAAGGAGGTTCTTGGGCAATGAGATTACATCTCCTACTCGTCAAACAAGACAAAACTGTTCAGGGGTGTTTTACTGTCGGATTCTTTGAAGTCTTGCGGGTGAGTAAAATATTTCACATTCTGCGCAGATTTACAGCGATCGACCTTAAAAACTGACATGACATGACTATATGTGATACAGGGCGGCAAGCTGTTATTCCCCTGCGGTATTCAATCGGTCAGGAAAAGGTACATATATACATGTAGATGGTATCTATCGTCCATACCCCACCCACCAATGTGTCCAGTAAATGCAGTGTCTTGCTACAAGTTGGTTAAACCTACTGTATAGCCAGCAGCTGTTGATTCAACAAACGACGGAGGTCAATGGCCCACTTTTTGCAAATATGGAATAAAACAAATGACGACATTCGACCTGGCCTTTGTCCACACTACCAGCCGCCATTGTTTTCGTTGCTCCTTACTAGTGTACCATAAATTACAACATGCAGCAATGAAAACATCGACTTAAACTCGTACGTTGTTGAGCATTGAAAAAAATGGCGGCTCGTAGTATGGGCAAAGGCCAAGGTCGAATGTCGTCACGCTCAATTGTGACGTCATCTGTTGTGTTCTATGACGTTTCCATTTTTGTAAAAAGAGGGTCAGTGACCTCCGCACACTCCGGCACAGCGATGACTAACATAACATCACTGCCACAGGCTAATTTGCATATCACGTGACCGGACTTTTCTCTTGGTTGTAATCAAACGCGCATATTCATAATAAGAAGAGACTGGACTCACGAAAGCTTTTCGGCGCTCTCTTCATAACGTTTAACAATGTTACATATATATTCTTCCACAACTGCGACAGTAAGGTCTATGACAGTACATATTTAGATATCAAACTGGCTGCATCGTTTGCTCTCCATCAGCTTCGATGACAGCACGTGGAGCCGTACAACCTATGTAAACAAAGGATCACTACGCAAATCGAAATAGTGTTACAGGTTTTTGGATATTTTCTCAGTGAAACTAAACAATTCTATTAAAGATGATTAGTTAGATGTGTACACTCGTCAAAAATAAAAGAGTAAAAGAAATCTGTACATTATATTGAATGGACATTGCAAGATGTGACGAATCTTTACATTTTTCTGGCCTGTGGCAGAGATACTATGCTGGCTTTTGACAGACGTGACCCCACATACGTGACTCTTATTTTGACAGACGTGACCTCACATACGTGCCTCCTCTTTTGACAGACGTGACCCCATATACGTGACTTCTCTTCTGATAGACGTGACCCCACATACGTGACTCCTCTTTTGACAGACGTAACCCCACATACGTGCCTCCTCTTTTGAAAGACGCTACTCCTCTTTTGACAGACGTACCCCACATACGTGACTCCACTTTTAGTAGACATGACTCCTGTTGTGACAACCTTTAGATATCAGAAGATACAATAACCCCGTTTGTAACGAACATGCGTGTAACGAACTGACGGATATAACGTTTAGTTGTCCCGACCACTCGGCGTGTGTTGAAATATTTCTGTTTCTGCACACAAAGGGAACACGTATGAACGTATCTATCGGGGAGTAGGCGATCAAATCCAATGACTTATACCATACGTTCCCGAATTATTTCAGGTAAACAATTGACTAGACTTAGCATGTGTTTATGACGGGTGACACAGGAGGGGCAGGATCCGCTCACCTGGTATCATCCCTACATCATAGTGATTCATAAACACATGCTCTGTCATCGTATCAACATGGTGACAATCACTGGAAAGTCTGGGTCAGAGCCGAATTGTTTACAAACGACATCATACAGCTATAATACCGCTGAAGCAAAATTAATAATGCTTACAGTCACCAGTGTACAATCGACTCTGCCAGAGATTTCTTATGAATGTGGAACGGATTTTGTCGTTTCCATTCTAATGGTTGGTGGGATACATAGACACACGCGTTTCCTCATTGGTCATTCTCCCCATTGGTCATTGATCATTGGTCAACTCTACTGCCACTCATTCGTTAAATATTGGATTGCAGCTTTAAGGTCGGTAAATAATAATATAATAGTAATTCATTTATATAGCGCCTAGTATCCACCTCACTAAACAGCTCCTTGGTCGCTGTAATCAGAATCTGATTATTATTACCCCCGATAACCCAAGCTGCCTGTTTGGCGCTAGAAGGCCACATGACTCACATGATTTTATTTTGAACAAATTCACTTGCCTAAGGTGAGACCACATGTATCACATGTACTTCGTTTTGGGGCAGGACTGAAGTCCAAGAAACTCTCAGGAGTCACAAGACCACACACCTCCACAAATATAATTTAGAGCCGGACACTGATTTTAAAATGCATTATTAGCTGCAGAATCTTTCTGTAGATTTATCTCTTGTGACAGAGTAGCTAACAATATACAATTTATAATTGTATAGCTAACAATATACAATTCTCTTGCAAACCCGCCAGCCCAGGTATAAAACAAACACATTGTGGGTTCCCCTGTGGCACCCCCCGCCATTTACTCACCAACATTTACATATTCTGTAACGTCACTCGTATCGGAAGGTCAGCTCTCATGGTTCGGAACCATTCAACAAACCATCTTACAATTAGATCCACTCATGCTGGCGTGTCAGAAGCGTACTTACCACTATGACACCATTCAGTCTTGAAGCAAGACTGCCACTTTAAGACCGCCACAGAAAAAAACACCACATCAAGACCGCCACATCAAGACTACCTCGGCAATACTGCCACACCAATACCGCCACAGCAAGAGCGCCACAGCAAGACCATCACAGCGAGATTGCCACAGCAAGACTGCTACAGCAAGACTGCCACATCAAGACTGCCATGGCAATACTGACACAGCAATACCGCCACAGCAAGACAGCCATAACAAGACCGCCAAATCAAGACTGCAACATCAAGATTGCCACAGCAAGACTGCCACATCAATACTGCCACATGAAGATTGCCACATCAAGACTGCCACATCAATACTGCCACATCTGGCAACAGAAAATGATCAAGATCGTAATACCCAAAACACAATGCATACTGATATTAAAAAGCAAGAAATCCAGTCCAAGCTGTTCCGGCGAGACCACAGGAGAGATTGAACAACCGACTCAACCGAAAGAAATTTCATTAACAAGTAAACACCTTTGTTGGAGTTTCTAAAAATGCTTTGTACTCATAACAGCCTTCTGCAGTCTTGTAATTTTGTAAATTGACATTGACATTGGATTGCCATGTGGTGTTTCTGGAAAGTTAAACTTTCACATATTAAGAAGATAGTTATCATCATGTGTGATTGTATGCGTCCACGCACTAAGATCAACATGTTGCCATCACACAAAGCATTCTTTGTTTGCAGGTGTGTTCAGTTTGCTTATCATATCGTCACTGAGCACACTTGTTCAATCAGGCATGTTGTTTTACTGTGTATTTCGGAAAGTTGATAATCTCTAGAGTAATGTAGTAATGAAATAGTTCTAGGCCTCGTCCACATCGTTTCCTAAACAACTGTCATCGCCATATATTATTTGTAATGGGTAAAATGATTCACGAAAGTTTCTGATTTTTTTAAAGGTTGATTATCTCGTATCTACCAAGGTAGACAAAGGTCGCTATGACACTTTACCACCTGATGGACACCTGGTGAACACCTGATGACACTAAGCGTTGCTGAAACAATTCTGAAAGCGAAGCCAGTCATGCGTGAACCAATCATTGAAATGAGGAAAACATGTGTAAAAAGATATTCTCAAGTCAACTGTGAACACGACGACCAATGAGTGATCCAGATCAAACGAAACAACGGCGATGTTGAAGTGCTTTGCAGTTTGGAGACATTATTTTGCGAGGAGATGTAAGCACGCACGACGCAAAGAGACAATTTTCGTTGAAGTTTGAAAGAATTTCGAAAAATGCCTGATGGTGTAACATGTATTCTCTATGTTCTGATCATGTTGGATTGTATGTTAATAAGTACCCAGGGAAGTAGCATATGTGTGGATGAGGTGTTTGACCTTGTATTCAGTGGCAAAGCCGCCACAGATTACGTTGTAAGGAACACGACGGTTCCCAGTCGGGCAGAATGTTCTGTTCTGTGTCATCAAGAGGAAAGGTGTGTCTCTGTGGCGTATTCAGACTCAGGAGAGTGTGTCCTCCACAGTGAGTTACCACAGACACTGGCAGTGGTCAGTACACCGGACACTGACATCTACTACCGCCAAGGTAAGATATACCTGACACTGACATCTACTACCACCAAGGTATGATATACCTGCCACTGACATCTACTATCACGAAGGTATGATATACCTGACACTGACATCTACTACCACCAAGGTAAGATATACCTGACACAGACATCTACTACCACCAAGGTAAGATATACCTGACACAGACATCTACTACCACCAAGGTATGATATACATGACACAGACATCTACTACCACCAAGGTAAGATATACCTGACACTGACATCTACTACCGTCAAGGTAAGATATACCTGACACTGACATCTACTACCACCAAGGTAAGATATACCTGACACTGACATCTACTACCATCAAGGTAAGATATACCTGACACTGACATCTACTACCACCAAGGTAAGATATACCTGACACTGACATCTACTACCACCAAGGTAATATACCTGACTACACCTACCACAAGGTAAGATATACCTGACACTGACATCAAGGTAATCAAGATATATACCTGACACTGACATCTACTACCATCAAGGTAAGATATACCTGACACTGACATCTACTACCATCAAGGTAAGATACCATCTAGGTAAAGGTATATACCTGACACTGACATCTACTACCACCAAGGTAAGATATACCTGACACTGACATCTACTACCACAAGGTAAGATATACCTGACACTGACATCTACTACCACCAAGGTAAGATATACCTGACACTGACATCTACTACCATCAAGGTAAGATATACCTGACACTGACATCTACTACCATCACTACCATCAAAGATATACCTGACACTGACATCTACTACCATCAAGGTAAGACATACCTGACACTGACATCTACTACCACCAAGGTAAGATATACACTGACATCTACTACCATCAAGGTACACTGACACTGACATCTACTACCACCAAGGTAAGATATACCTGACACTGACATCTACTACCACCAAGGTAAGATACACCTGACACTGACATCTACTACCATCAAGGTAATATATACCTGACACTGACATCTACTACCATCAAGGTAAGATATACGTGACACTGACATCTACTACCATCAAGGAAAGACATACCTAACACTGACATCTACTACCACCAAGGTAAGATATACCTGACACTGACATCTACTACCACCAAGGTAAGATATACCTGACACTGACATCTACTACCATCAAGGTAAGATATACCTGACACTGACATCTACTACCATCAAGGTAAGATATACCTGACACTGACATCTACTACCACCAAGGTAAGATATACCTAACACTGACAACTACTACCGCCAAGGTAAGATATACCTGACACTGACATCTACTACCATCAAGGTAAGACATACCTGACACTGACATCCACTACCATCAAGGTAAGATATACCTGACACTGACATCTAGTATTAGCAAGGTAAGATATACCTGACACTGACATCTACTACCACCAAGGTAAGATATACCTGACACTGACATCTACTACCATCAAGGTAAGATATACCTGACACTGACATCTACTACCATCAAGGTAAGATATACCTGACACTGACATCTACTACCATCAAGGTAAGATATACCTGACACTGACATCTACTACCATCAAGGTAAGACATACCTAACACTGACATCTACTACCACCAAGATACGATATACCTGACACTGACATCTACTACCATCAAGGTAAGATATATCTGACACTTACATCTACTACCACCAAGGTGAGATATACCTAACACTGACATCTACTACCACCAAGGTAAGATACACCTGACACTGACATCTACTACCATCAAGGTAATATATACCTGACACTGACATCTACTACCATCAAGGTAAGATATACCTGACACTGACATCTACTACCATCAAGGTAAGACATACCTAACACTGACATCTACTACCACCAAGGTAAGATATACCTGACACTGACATCTACTACCACCAAGGTAAGATATACCTGACACTGACATTTACTACCATCAAGGTAAGATATACCTGACACTGACATCTACTACCATCAAGGTAAGATATACCTGACACTGACATCTACTACCACCAAGGTACGATATACCTGACACTGACATCTACTACCATCAAGGTAAGATATATCTGACACTGACATCTACTACCACCAAGGTAAGATATACCTAACACTGACATCTACTACCACCAAGGTAAGATATACCTGACACTGACATCTACTACCATCAAGGTAAGACATACCTGACACTGACATCTACTACCACCAAGGTAAGACATACCTGACACTGACATCTACTACCACCAAGGTAAGATATACCTGACACTGACATCTACTACCATCAAGGTAAGACATACCTAACACTGACATCTGCTACCACCAAGGTAAGATATACCTGACACTGACATCTGCAACCACCAGTATAACAATCAGTCCATTCCGACTACAATAGCGAAATTTTGATCTTAATGTTTCGGAAAACAGGTGCGGTTCCCATTTCAACAACTACCCTAACAACATCGGCATCAACGTCAACAACAACAACACCGATGCCTGTAACTTCAAATGTGACGCCAATGACAACACCTGAAGGTACCTAGTTTATGATTCTGTTAATGTAATACTTATCACTTATATAACGGTGTCATGTATTAACGCCGATCTTTCAATTTGCAAATATCTACAGTCCGTTTGATTTCATTTGAGACCGAAGAATAGCTCACTAACAGAAAATCTAATAATTGCAACAAAACCAAATTTGGTACAGTCACATGAAATCGACAGACCAACTCTGATGATGTGTCTGATAATTTTGAACACCCAAATAAACAAGCATGCTGGCTAAGTCGTTCGTATTTCTGGTGTCCACCGCCGTGATATTGTTGGAATATTGCTAAACGCGGCGTAAAACTAAACTATACAGTGAAGCCCCGTTAGTCCGGACTCCGATAATCCGGATGTCTCGCCTCCCGGGCGATTTCAGCTTGTTACCAATCTATGCCTATATAATTTGCCTCGATAATCCGGAAATTCGGTTTCCGGAACCGGACGGTAAGTAGCTGTCACCAATCAGTAAAATAAACAGTAAATTGCTTCACAGTCCGGACGCTGTAAGTCGTGTTCACGAACCGTAACAACACCTCCCGGCGATGTTTACTTAATTAACTGGCCAACTGGGTTGTTGTTTTAATTAGACATTAAAAGCTCCCGACTGAAGATACTGTACATTTACACTTTGATTGACACCACAATACAAAGGCGTGGATGACAAGTGAGCTGTTTTGTGATTGGTTAATGTACTTTGACAGACAGATGCGGTCACGTGGACTTAAAGTGATTTTGCTTTACGACAATGCTGCAAGTCACAAGTGTGCTTCGCTAACTTTGCGAAATGTGACCAAATACCACGTCTCATATTCAACCGATGGATGCAGGAATAATTCGGACATTCAAGGCATACTACAATAGATCGCTTGTTAGACATTACCTCACCTGTGCTGAGGAAGGACGTGATCAGACACGTCGGATCAACATGCGGATGTCACTCGGTAAAATTATTGATGTGATGAATTAAGCTTTACATTAAATGCTTATTTGTTTTATCCAGATTCGTGTCGTTTTTGTAATAGTTAGGGAAGCAACTTGGGTCTTGATTCAGTAGTCCGGACTATTCGCAATCCGGACGAATTTACTGAGAAACGCAACCGTCCGGATTAACGAGGCTTCACTGTATACGTTGTTATCCGAAATCCCCTTGTAATGAGTCGATGAATTGTGTCCTGTTTAATGCGACAAATTTTGTAGGTCTGTGACTGTGGACAGCAAATAATGTTGTTCCCCGCAGACCGGTGATTGACATTATAAGCATCGCCCAGCCACCGGGTTACGGTGACCAGCCGGTGACCAGCCATCGGGTTACGGTGACCAGCCGGTGACCAGCCATCGGGTTACGGTGACCAGCCGGTGACCAGCCATCGGGTTACGGTGGCCAGCCATTGGTTACGATGACCAGCCATCGTGTTACGATGACCAGCCATCGGGCTACGGTGACCAGCCATCGGGCTACGGTGACCAGCCATCGGGTTATGGTGACCAGCCATTGGTTACGATGACCAGCCATCGGGCTACGGTGACCAGCCATCGGGTTATGGTGACCAGCCATTGGTTACGATGACCAGCCATCGGGTTACGATGACCAGCCATCGGGCTACGGTGACCAGCCATCGGGCTACGGTGACCAGCCATCGGGTTACGGTGACCAGCCATTGGTTACGATGACCAGCCTGATCTTCCCGAAATAAACAATAAATGCTTCTGAAATGCAAAGATTGTTTGCCATAACCGTCATTGCTGCAACAACATTACTATAACTGCAGGTTCCATAACAACCCCCGCTGCATTAACTGCGACACCACCAACAGCTGTGACAACTGCATCCAAAGCGCCTTCTCCAACACCGATGGTAACGGCAGCAACTGTAACACCCATGACTACCCCAGTAGCAGCCACCTACACAACTACATCAACCGAAACCATAACGACCGCCACCACGACTGCACCAACAACTTCATCAACTACTACTACAACTTCTGCTGCTGCTACTACTACTTCGACAATGACTGCTACTCCTACTACGACTACTACCACTCCGACTACGACTACCACCACCACCACTACTACAACTACCACGACTACACCGACAACTTCGTTAACAACGACCACGGTGGCTACATCACAAGGTATGAAACTGATCTGTACTGCTCCATCCTCAAACTCCTAGGATTGGTTCATGGAAGTCAAATATCTCTTTTTGCTATTATTCCAAAATAGATATCCGTAATATTTTGACCACAAAATCCTCTTTGCTGTTTTAAATTAATAAATACATGGACACGTGTCAACCAGAAATGTTTATTACATTACATAAATTACTGACGTATTGAAAATCTGAGACTGACGTCTTTTGCTGGCTCAATGCATGACCAGCTTCTATTTGTCACACGTTAATGAACGACCGACAAAGAGTTATGAAGTGATCGTACACGTAATCTGTGACCGGAAATTATTCGATCGTTTTGCGCATCGGTTTGAGCAGCCGGAAGGAGAAAATTGCATTCGGCGTACATGTATACAACACGTCACAACCAAGAATACATAAATCTATGCATCCCGTGCTATTAAAAAAACAACCACTCAAGTCAGTTTTCTCCAAGTGAGATTGATATCAGCTTTCGGGTTAAATCGCATATACGGCAAGGCTTAACGACATCAGCTCCACACATTGCCCCAATGGCAGACAACTGGCATGTTCGTGCATGTCCATGCACGGAGTAGTATAACGTTCCCTCAACTTCATATTCGTAGCTACTCGCCTCTTTCCGTGACCTACAAGAAGACTCGTAGTCGTACCTTTATAGTATGCCATTAGTGCCAAGAATCGTGGCAAACCAATGAAATCGCGCGTAGTAAAATGTGACATGAGTCAAATTGTTTCTTTGCGATTATCGATTTTCACTATTATTTCCGACCCGTGATTATACAATTATCTTGCTACTTATATTTGTTAACGACATAAAAAAAAACTTACTTAAAGTGGCCGTCGTGTTGTATTATGAATTACTAGGACTAGCCATGTATGGAAATACAGAGTTATCTTTCCTTGGAAATAGTCCTAGACTATTTTCATCTCTGTGCCCTTTGGCGCTTATGCAAGGCCGAGTCGTGAATATATAGCAACGAGAAGGGTACGCGTCGCCACCCGGCTTGCCGGAATGACACGAGTAGTTACGAATGTCACCTTTATTGATATCAGTGTATCTATAGCTGACTAAAAACAAAACGCAACGTCATTACATGCAGAATATTATATACCATTGAATGTAATTTGTAGACTTTTCCCTGTTATCATGCATTTCATGCCTTTGTGGAAATAATTCCTTCTGTACTTTGTTTGAAATTAATTATTGATTGCATTGTGTTATATTTGATGGAGTGGCACTTACATAAGCTGTTGGCTTGTTGTATTAATCCATATCCATGTCATGTTTACATTTCATGAATAAATTATGTTTATATAAACAAAATTATTATATACACGTCCTCGTAAATGGGGGCGATGGGGTAGCCTAGTGGTTAAAGCGTTCGCTAGTCATGGCAAACACCGGGTTTGATTCCCCACATGGATACAATGTATGAAACCTATTCCTGGTGTCTCCCGCCGTGATGTTGCTGGAATATTGCTGAACGCGGCGTAAAACTATACTCACTCACTCACTCCACACATGGATACAATGTATGAAACCTATTCCTGGTGTCTCCCGCCGTGATGTTGCTGGAGTATTGCTGAACGCGGCGTAAAACTATAACTCACTCACTCACTCCACACATGGATACAATGTATGAAGCCTATTCCTGGTGTCTCCCGCCGTGATGTTGCTGGAATACTCCTGAACTCGGCGTAAAACTATACTCACTCACTCACTCCACACATGGATACAATGTATGAAGCCCATTCCTGATGTCCCCCTCCGTGACATTGCTGGAATATTGCTGAACGCGGCGTAAAACTATACTCACTCCTCGTAATATCGTCCGCCAACGTGTTCAGGCCCGTGTTTTACTGTCTGTTATCTCTGTTGTAGAGGTAGAACTATGGGTGACAGAAGTGCTGACCTACTCGTCACAGATGTCCAATGACGACAAGTAAATACACTTGACCAATTTAAATATAGGAATTACAAAACATACACTAATTTGTTATTGGTTCGTTTTAGAATTCGAATTTGGTTGTTTTTTAATTTGGTAAAACATGAAAGTTGCAAACACTTTTATACAATTGCTGAAAACCGTTTCATGTAGTCTTTGTGAATTGGTGAATTGCAATCTTCTCATAAAGATCTGGGGCGGTGGGGTAGCCTAGTGGTTAAAGCGTTGGCTCGTCACGCCGAAGACCCGGGTTCGATTCCCCACATGGGCACAATGTGTGAAGCCCATTTCTGGTGTCTCCCGTCTTGATATTGCTGGAATATTGCTAAAAGCGGCGTAAAGCTAAACTCAGTCAGTCAGTCTTAAAGCTCTTATCTTATACATCTTTCATAAAATGACCACATGGGTACAACGTGTGAAACCCCTTTCTGGTGTCCCCCGCCGTGATGTTGCTGGAATATTGCTAAAAGCGGCGTAAAGCCAAACTCAGTCAGTCATAAAATGCCTAACACGCTCCTTGAACTTAAACGACATATTTGTTCACACTGGTGACACTTGATGAAGGTTGTGTAGATGTGTAACTACTGTTTGCTCGTTACACCGAATACCCGGGTTCGAATCCCATATGGATACGATGTGTGAAGCCCATTTCTGGTGTCCCCTGCTGGGTAATTGCGCCCACACACGTTATGTACTACTTTGATCTTAACACTATATGTTTCTCAGCGCCGCTAGCTAAGTGATTGGAGAACCTGACGTCTACCCCAACTACGGCCACAACGTTAAAGCCTGGGGCCAATCCAACACAAACAACTATCAACAATATGTTGAGGTACGTATGGGTCTGGATTTTTAATGTTCATCCCTTTTAACACAAGATCCAGTCAAATCTGTGTGCGAGAATTTGATATGTCAGTCCCGAAGAAATGATTCATATAAATGTTCACAATGGAGTTGTGTTAGTATAATGAAGGAATGATGAACAGAGGGAGTTGTTCTTGGATTGTTGGGGTAGAATAGGTCTTCAGCAACCCATGCTTGCCACAAAAGGCGATGCAATGCTTGTCCTTAGAGGCGACTAACGGCGAGGCGACTTGGTCATCGTATCCCAATTGTTATCACTGGATTGTCTGGTCCAGACTCGATTATTTGCAGATCACCGGCATATAGATGGAATATTGAGTGTGGCGTAAAACTGCCATGCTTGAGTACAGGAACTCACGCACTTTAAACGTGCACTTACAAAATACCCTCATGCTTGCGCACACGCAAGTACACATGCGGACATATAAATAGAGAGAGGTATTATTTATACGATTGATGAAATCACTTATTCATTGTAAAGAACCCGTGAAGATCCGGGGTAGAATAGGTCTTCAGCAATCCATGCTTGCCACAAAAGGCGACTATGGTTGTCGTAAGAGGCGACTAACGGGATCGGGTGGTCAGGCTCGCTGACTTGGTTGACACATGTCATTGGTTCCCAACTGCGCAGATCGATGCTCATGTTGTTGATCACTGAATTGTCTGGTCCATACTCGATTATTTACAGACCGCCGCGGCGTAAAAATAAACTCACTCACTCTTGGTTTGTTCTGGAACAGCTCGCCCAAACACACCAATCGCTTAACTTGGGGCACCTATCACAAACACACTTATCGCTCCTTGCACGTGTATTTGTGAATCTCGTGCTTTTCATGCTGTGCATCCCACAGATAACGTTGAACACCGTCACCGTCGTTCTGATTCAGGGGTAATCCCTTCAAATGCATCAGAAACAACGTCATGATATTGGATAGAATACTAGTATTGCATTTCATGATTGAAAGTGGTTAATATTCACGCTTGTGTTGAATGAGCATTAAAGATGTACTTTGGGGGCAAATATCGATTGGTTTAAACAACATTTTGCGTTTTTCAGTATATTTTGGGGCATTCCTTTTGTTGGAGAAAGGTACGAAAGCCTAATTGTGCCATTTTTGTAAGAAATCAACGAGAAATTTTATGTTACAAAAGTGGCAGTATTAGGTTTTCGTAGACAGGAACTCCTTCATTCCATGATAGAACTCTTTGACTTGTGATCTTAACATACGTGTCATTTAACTTCAAACTGGTGAACGTTAAAACAATTATATATGATCAGTCACTTTACGGAATTCGTTTAAACGCCTCTTTGTCATTGAAGTGAAACTTTTGTTTTGCAGTTGAAGTACGCCATGAAACTCTTCATCTCTGAAGTGCACGTGTACGAGACTTACCGCGCAGGCGCAATGTGGAAGGTGGAGATCCGCGCACCTACCGGGCAATTTCTGACCATGTACAAGGCGCAATACTTACAGCGTCTAACTTCAAGCCGAATCGCCAAATACGTTTTGACAAGTGTGAGAATACAATCCTTTATTCATCTCCATCCTTTCTTGGGTGGCAGTTCGCACGTCACGCCAAGGATCCGGTTCGATTCCCCAAATACGTACAATCAGTTGTTGATCACCGTATTGTGTTCCAGACTTGATAATTTACATATAGCATATAGGGGAAGTAGTGTTCAGCATAAACCAACAAACCAACCAACCAAACATCTTTGTCCCTTAATACCTACCTTTCTCCTGTACCTTTCTCCTGTACCTTTCTCCTGTACCTTTCTCCTGTACCTTTCACCTGTACCTTTCTCCTGTACCTTTCACCTGTACCTTTCTCCTGTACCTTTCTCCTGTACCTTTCTCCTGTACCTTTCTCCTGTATCTTTCTCTCCTTTCCCAGTGGTTAAAGCGTTTGCTGTTCACGCCGAGTTGAGTTGAGTTGGGCTTTACGTCACATCGGCATTATTCCAGCCATATAGTGACGAGAACAAGTCTGCATTAATAAACATTGTAAGTACAGAGTCAAAATGAGTTTGATGGCCCGGGTTCGATTCCTGACATGGGTACAATGTGTGAAGCCCATATCTGGTCTTCTCCTCTGTGATATTGCAGGATGACTGCTAAACGGGGGTAAAACCAACCCATTCACTCACTCCCCACGCCAAACAACCTCCCCACCCCACCTGTGTTCTGTGTATAGCCTCCCTTCCCATCTCCCCCCCCCCCCCCTTCGTCCCTCCTTGTCCAACCCCTGATGACATTTTGGTTCACCTGTCACCTGTTGCAGTTGCCGACCTTCACGTCTGATGTCATCCGGGTGTGGGTGGATCCTTATTTCGCGTATGGAGCTGTAGAGATAGACGCTGTCAAGCTTGTCGGAATGACCGATCCGTAATTGAAGCGAATATTTCCAGACATGAGGCACCACGATTTGGCACTTGTAAGCTATGGATCTGATAAACGCCTGGCAGTAAGGTATATGAACAGCACACTGTCAAGATGTCGACCACCATGGTAGGCCACCTAGATAGTAATCGACACACGTGAAATTCATTTACAGATGTGTCGTCTTACACCTTCAAATAATCATCGGTAGTATACTACAGGAATAAAGTAACTGTGCATTACTTGATGTCATGCCATTTTATAATGCAAAAAGATAATACACAAATTCTCACATTTGAAAGACACAAATCGTCAGAAAGTAAAGACAATATTTCTGTCACGTGTTGTTTCTGTTTTATTGATGAAAGTGTCACGAACGAAAATCAGAAATTGTAGCACTCAACGGGAGCTTGTAAAAATTCCATCACACATCATGCAACGCCCTACAGTCGTAATCTACGTGACTTTTCTTTATGATGGCTGCATAACACTTTGAGGGAGATATCATTCACAAAGTTGGGTCGTTAATTCCAAAGTTGTGTTTCTTTAAGAACATTACGCGTAAGATCCTCTCCACTCAGTTGAGTTTGTTAGCATTATAACAACAAACTTAATCAAGTCAGGTCTTGACAATATAACTTTGTTATACTGTTAAATGCAGTTCTTCACGCAAAAGAAGGCGACAAAAAGATTCGACACCTGAGAGGTAATATAACGAACTTCACTGACAATACAACAGCATTTATATAAGGTAATATTATTGATCAGGTTGTCAATGAATGCCTTTGTAACGTACATTACAGATTTACACCAAAAACATTTGTTCACATAAATACCATTCATTCCTTTTTTCTCCCAATTCCCTTGTCCGTAATACCCGCTGGATCTGCACGAGTGATGCCCATTCTGTCAGAATTCAGCAATCATATTTTGTAATCTACGTTACAAAACTGTAATCTACGTTACCTTACAAACTAATTTATTGGACGTAATAATCGTCCTCATATCGACTGATTTTACAACAACTCACCATATATGAATGTCATTATTGCTACTTGATGAGCAATAAATAAAATATTCATAACTGCTACCGGAACATGTGATAGTTATGAAGGTATTACTTCATTCATTGCAATCTACGTTACCATACTTTGAGGAGCGAGTACAAAATTGAGGGGAAAGATATGTTGCAGTTTTCTTAAGAGATCAAAATATCATAAGTTTAGTGTTGATATCAATGTCTAAAACTCTATTTGGTAACAGAATTGATACAAGCTTCACGAAATACAACTTACATCAATCTTTTGAAATGATGGCTAACGACACCCAAGTAGTGATTATTTCCAAATGCTTCTACCGAAGAAATTCTCAACAGCAGAACAATTGTTTTGCAATATTGTGAAACTATATCCCTACAATGAAGTAAATTAAGAAACATTCTTACCTGTTACATGGGGAATTTCCCGAATAATGATGAAGTTTCCCTTCCAAATTTGAATTTCGTGAAATGTCACTTCATGAAGTGCTGCGACCATGTGACAGCATCCGGTGGGAACTGTTGTAGGTTATCAAATTATGTGCCTGGGTTCTCTGACTACGCTACGAAGCGAAATCTTCTATTTCCAGTAATATATTTTGTAAGATTCCATATTAGGTGGTAAGGTAGATTTCATAACGTAGATTACTTTCACCGTTTGCAAACTACCATGATCTTGACTGGAAGCATATTGCACTCCCTTTTCGGGGTTATTACACTATGAAAACACAAAGCATTCATTTTAATCACTTTCATAGGTAGCTGTTATTCATGTTCCGTACAGTAATGGTAACGTAGCTTCCATGTGTGTTAACACAACTCCTTTACAGACCGGGTTCGACTATGTGTATGTTATATATGGTAGGATGTGTTCCAAGATGACACTTTTTGTACATACACTATATCCACTAAAAACCTGCGAGCTTTCAAAACAAATGTTTGTCAATATATACTAGCCACATAAAGAAACTGTGCATTGTCAAAATAGTATCCCAGTTGAAGTACGATAACAATGTCAAAGGTACATATAAACTTTAATGCAGGGATCATGAGACCATAACAAGTCGGGAGAATTTCAATTGAAAAGTCAATCACAATGACGTCACGAGTCCACAAGCGGGACAAGGGTCAAACGACCATGTCACAAGCTCAATAACGGGTATGTCCACCATCGGTATTGAGAACAGCAGTGCATTGACGACGCAAAGAGCCTATCAAACGTGCAGGGAAGGCTTGTGGGATGTCACGCCAGATTCTCTCAAGTTCTGTAGCAAGGTCAAGGACGTTATCTGGCGGATGAGGAAGACGGCGTAGACGTCAATCCATCTCGTCCCAAACATGCTCTATCGGGGAGAGATCCGGTGAATTTGCAGGCCAAGGCAGTAAGTCAACGTTGTGGTGTTGCAAGAAATCCATAGCAACCCTTGCCGTATGAGGGTTGGCACTGCCCTGTTAGAATGTTAACCCAGGGCCATGACGTGCAGAAAAGGAATTGCCACAGGTCGAAGAATCTGATCCCTGTAGCCCACACCAGTTAAGTTGCCCTGAACAATCACAAAAGGAGTTCTTTGGCGTGCTGTTATTCCACCCCAAATCATCACGGAACCACCACCAAAGCGATTCTTCTCCAAGACACAGGCCTGTGCATAACGTTCTCCCACGCGTCTATAGGCACTTTGACGTCCATCACTATGGGAAATGTTAAACCTTGACTCATCTGTAAAAACAACATTTCTCCACCAAAACAAGGGATAGGCCGTATTGCGGGACGTCATGGTCTGATCCCGTGATGACGTAAACGTTGTCGAACTGTGTTTGGGTGGATACGGCGAAGTCCTGGGATGGTTCGGGAAGTCATCACTGCAGTCTGAAACCTGTGGCGAAGATGGGTCACCCTTATCCATCTGTCCTGTCTTGGCGTCGTTACACGTGGACATCCAGAACGTGGCCGATCGATGACGTCATTTGTCTTCTGGTAGCGTCTCACCAGTGCAGAAATGGTGTTCCCGTGTCAGTGGAAATGTGCAGCCACTTGTCGTTGAGACATTCCCCCCACGGACCATCCCAGTGGCCTCATGACGTTGTGCAGACGTGAGCCTTGGCATGCTATGCGTTGCAATAGCCGTTACATTTTTTGAACGATCGCAAGGGCAGGGGTTGAGCTTTCCAAAGTGACAGTATTGTGTGGCATTCATTTGCTCTGTTTCTCTTTCCCGAAATGCACGTGCAAAAACGTATTGCACGTCTCAAGGACGAACCCACTGACGTCACGGAACGTGGCACGTGCATCCTTGTTGGATACATGTCACTAAATCTCTGAGTTTAAATCCTTATTTGTCTACACAGGTTTGATGAATTTAGATTTTAAATTTTTGTATGCACAGTTTCTTTATGTGCCTAGTATATATGCATTTTACACTGCATGTGAATAACATGATTTGTGTTTTTTTCCTTAATCACTGTTTAACTGTTGACAGGATAATATCGAAATATGTATGATTTGACATCAGGCATCGTGACACGCACTTGAAGTGAGTTTAACTCAGTATCGTGTGTGTTCACATTGGCGTTGATGCAGGCTTGACAACGACGACGTATAAGCGACACAAAGCGACAAGAAAGCTTCGGGAATGTTGTTCCATGTCTGAACCAACGCTCGTCCAAATTCACCTAACGTCTATGGCTGATTCTGGGCTTGACGTAAACTATGTGTATGTGAAAAGTATGTGAACTTCAAGTGTACAAAAAGTGAGTAAGTTCATTGTGTACAAAGTGCACGTGCCACGCACAATACGTGACATCCAATTTCATGCAAAATGCTTTTACAGGGGGAAAGCCCTGTCCACGCTCAACCGGAATTTGGTCACATCAACTACCATTTCCCCGATAGACAGTCGATCGCGGTAGAAAGTGAGTCCCAAACTTCGTAAGATATTGATATTTTCAAGTAGTAAATGTTTATGAAATCGAATTCTTATAAGCTGAACGGTCATGGATTATAACCCCTATATCATTTTGTCATGACACATTATATTTTGTTTACCTTTGAAGCATTTCTTGACACGTCTTTCGGCGCGAATTGGAAAAGCCGAGAAATCGACCACTTTCGATGTCTTTAATTTACATTATCAATTCAATTCATTTTATTTTTTCATATTCATTTTATAAATTAGGTTATGTAGCTGCTGTGTCCAGATTTTAGCTTCTGTCAAAACATACAAACGCAGATATTAAGGAAAACAATAACTGTACGCATCGATGGTAGTTGCTTCATCACTGTACGGGTTGTTGGTTCCTTCTCACACAAAACTGTCTTGGTAGTTGCAGCTATCGAATTCTGATTTGTTCCCTTGTCAGCCAGTGTAGGTCACTATTACAACGAAAGAATATACTGAAAGTATCTGTTCGTTTGCTTTCAATCATGGGTGGAAGTTTCCATTTCTTATAACTTGGTGTCACAGTTTTCTGGCATTTCTTTCAGGGATTCTTTCTTCACTATTCAGCTAATACTACTCCCTATTCAGAAAACACACAAACAAAACAAGATGCAAATTTAAGAATAAAACTTGAAGTGAATTTCTGCTTTGTTTCTTATGTACTGCTCACTACTAGGGACGGAATTGACGTTAAATATAACGTAAGAGAACGTAAAATACGTTAGCATCATATAACTGTAACCTTGTGATGACGTATCACAACGTTGTGACAACGTTAGTTAATGACGACTAACTTCCGGTTGAGCATGGACAACTTGATGTTATGCACAGTTACTTTTTCCAATCAGGATTTTGTTAGTATTTAGTTATTGCTGGATGCTGAGACGATTCCATTTCGGACTGATTATTTATTGAGAAAACAGAAAACATCTTGCTTTTGTTTTCTAAATTTGTCTGTATATGTTAGCCAACTTGAGACACACCCTGGGTGTCTCGCCTCTGTTTCACTCAGAAATAAAATGTAAATTAACCAAATCCATCGATTTTTACTAATCGATTCTTTTTCATCACTCTTATGATAAAAGACACCTGTGGCTTGCAGGTGCCTAATGTCATGTGGCAGATGGGAGGAAATCTACAGTGTAATGCCGTGATGCTTAGATACACCATCACCGCACCATTGGGAATTGCCTGATCTTTTGTCAGTGCCATAAAACTAGGAGGCAGCTTGTCACTGGATGTGAGGTGGGGTGAGGTGAAATTGGGTTTT